AACGGTAATTACATTGAACCTTATGGGGAAATTTCCTTCGGGTTGCGACCAATTCAGGCTGTGGCCAGAGTCACGGAATGAATTGAATTCGTAACCCGAGGTTCCACTGTATTTCTGTCAAACTCCTTCTGCATTTTCTGGGCCTCTTTTAATCTTAACTGAAAGTGTGTAATACATCTGAAGCAGGCAAGGGGGCTTTGGGTCTGGTATGGGTCCTTCAACTCAAGAAAATATACCTTTGATTTAAGGAAGGACTAAGCAGCTGAGACAAAAAAAAAAAAATTAAAATATTAATACTAAATAATTCCCCAAAACAAAGAAAGAGTACAATTACTTTGCATTTGCCTCTGTTAAATGTCATTCTGTTATTTTCGGCCCATTTCTCAAGACTGTTTTGATTTTCATTTGTCTCTTCCAGGTATTAACTATTTAGTCGAAGTGTATCTCATATACTGTATACATATAGGTAGTCCTTGACTTACAACCATTCATTTGATCATTCGAAGTTACAACGGTGCTGAAAAAAGTGACTTACAAGTGGTCCTTGCACTTATGACCATTGCAGCGTCCCTGCAATCACGTGATCAGAATTATTTATGATGGTTGCAGAATCCCGGGGTCATGTGATTGCCATTTGCGACCTTACCAGGGGCTTCTGACAAGCAAAGTCAATGGGGAAAGGTGGATTCACTTAACGGCCATGTGATTCACTTAATGACCATACCATAACAAAAAAGGTGATAAAATTGGGCACAACTCACTTAACAATCACATCACTTAGCAATGGAAGTTCAAGTCCCAATTGTGGTCATAAGTCGAGGAGTACCTGTACTGTACATTTGATAAGCATTCTCTCCACATTTTCATCCAAGTAATTAATTAAAATATTGAAGAAATATGCAGCTTATCACTTTAAGTGGTAGTATTACTCACTGAGCAGAGCTTTGTATTGTTTGAGCTGGGCTATCTGTGCCTGGATGGTGGCCTCTGACACCAAAAGTCTGTCTCGTAATTTGTGACACTGTTGCCTGCTTTGGGGTTGCTTGGACTGGAACCTCTCGGCTGACTCTGTGTTCTTCTGCCCAAACCTGCTTGATACTCTGCCTCCTTCAACCTGCAAGAAGAAACAAAAGTGCTTCAGCCATCAGAAGAAATGGCAGTAGGTGGACTTCATATGACTTGGCCTAGAAGATAGGTGGGCAACATGTGCTGTCCAGTTTGAGCCCCCTCCCTAGCATTTGGCATACTTTCACCAGCAAGGGTACAATCTGTGCTTTGATTTTAAGGGTAGTTTTAAGGGTTGGGATGGGAGCAGACTGCTTTTGGGAGGCTTCCCACTCTCATCCCCAACCATATCAAATCAAAACAAACCTTTATTACAGTCATACACCTATTCCCACTCTAAATCCCCATCTAAAAGCCCCAATAGGGTGCTGAAAAATGTTGGCCATGCACTTTCCTATGACAACAGAGCAGTCAAAGGTTTTCAAGAAGATCAAGATGATGAGTTGTAGCCCTGATACCTGGCCAAGTTCCTCTCATTTGTACCACTCATGGCTAATATTTTATTCTACCAAGATTTGTATAACATGTGTCGAAAATGTTTGTCTGATAAGGACCACATTCTCTCAGGAGGGTTTATGGCTACAGAATAGGCATGACTAAAGCAAGCAATAGCTACGGTTGTTTTAAATTCTTACAAAAATAATATTGCATTTAATTGGCACTATTCTTTTGTTTACAAGTGGAACTTGGTAAATAAGCATAGCTGGTTTTTGTTCACTACTCAACTATCCTTCCCAGCAATCATCCACCTTTCCATGGCCATTGCAGACGATCAGTTCTCATTGACTGTTGGAAGTTTCTCACACCACTATAATTTATTCTCTCTGTACGATGAAAGATAGCAGCAACCACAGTTTTGGACTGTGAGTAGCAGCTGGAGCCGAATTCACAGAGGACAAAGCCTTGACTTTTCTAATATGGATGACCAAAGGGCAGCATGAGCCACAGGTAAATAGGCATTGCTAATTAATTGTGGCAGGGGTTGGTTTAATCAGATTTTTTTAAACCCTGACCACACCTGGGTTTCTTCTGGGCTGCCCATAGTTTGATTGGGTGGGCAGTGCAGTGATGGTGAATGACCATGGACAGCTTGGCAAGTGCACTGCTTGGCCATCTGCTGCTGCTCATTTGCCAGAGCCGTGCTCGCTGTCATCTGGTGAATGAAGGTGCCTCTGCATCCTTGGTTCCTTAGAGTCAATTGTTCTTTGAGGAGGCCAATCACAATCTCTGAAGTGTCCAGTTTCTCTTGCAGTTTCTTGATATCCTGCCTCAAGTCCTCTTCATCTTCCTTTTCATCCTCCTTCTCCCAAACCTCTGACAACTTTGCTTCTCCAACTTGTTCCTTGAGCTCTGCATTCTCTAGACAAAGGCTTAGCAGGGCCTTCCTGTTGAGACACAGGGATTAGCATTCAGAATGAAGCACTATTTAACACTCACGTGGTGGTTATGCAACTCACATGGGACACTTCTTCAATTACCACTCCCCCACTAGTGACAGAAAAAAATATTTTGAGACTCCATCAGTTTGCAGATTGCCCCCTTTAGTTTATTTCAGACAAAAAGAATGGAGGCTCAGTAAGACAGTAGTCATAACACTTGCCTGACATGTAGAACGTTATTGGTTAGAAACCTGGCAGAAATTAGCCTATTTGTTTTTAATTACTATTTTTCTGTCCTTGGGCTATGTACTTTTCCACTGGGCTTCTTAAAAAAATAAGAAGCAGACTTAGTAAAAAAACTCAGCTGAAAAGTAGACAGGTTGGAGAAAGTAATTAAACAACAGAAAGAAACTCATTTCTGCCACATTGCAAACAAGTGATTTTCTATAAGTCAGGCAACTGTTATATTCACTGTACTATTGAGATTCCTGTCTCCTAATAGTAGCCTTAGCAGGCCTTACTGAGCCTGCTTGTATTAGGAAAGGCAAGAAATAAATTATTATTTTAAAACCAAATATTGGGGCTACATATTAATGCTTTAACTTTGTATATATACATTTAATTTAACTGTCCTACTATTAGCTCAGCTGAAAAGTAGGTAGGTTGGGGAAAGAAAAATAATAATTAAACAACAGAAAGAAAACCTATGTTTATATGTATGTGTATATGTATACACAAGTGTGCACACACAGACACATACGAGATATATGTGCATGTAGTGGTATGTTTTGTATATACCACCACACACACACACACACACACACACAAATCCCCTATGTATGTGTGTGTGTGTGTGCGCGCGCGCGTGCATGTGTATACATATTAAAAAAAAAATCATAGCCTTAGCAGGCCTTACTGAGCCTGCTAGTATTAGGAAAATATAAGAAATAAATTATTATTTTAAAGTTGAATGTTGGACCTATATATATATGTGCATTTTAATACTTGAAATTTGTATATTGCTTTCTTTGACAAAGTGACTAGATTAGTGGACCAAGGGAATGCTGTGGATGTAGTATACTTAGACTTCAGTAAGGCATTTGTTAAAGTAGATAAGAGTCCCTTCTTGATAAACTGGAAAAATGGTCTCACTACCAGATGGATTCACAATTGGCTGAACAACCATAGTCAATGTGTGATCCTTAATGGGTCTATGTCCACATGGAGAGAGACATTTAGTGGGTTACCTCAGGGTTTTTTCCTCGGCCCAGTACTGTTCAGCATCTTCAAGACTTAGATAAGGGAATAGAAGGCATGCTGGTAAAATTTACAGATGACAGAAAGTGGAAGTGATTGCTAATATGACTGAAGACAGGCTCAAGATTCAAAAGGATCTAGATAAACTTAAACACTGGGTCTATCCAACAAAATGTTCAATGGTGAGAAATGTAACGTTCTGCACTTAGGCAGAAAAAACCAGATGTACAGATACAAGATAGGTGGTACCTGGTTTAGCAATAGTACTTGTGAGAAAGATCTTGGCAGATTACAGATTAAGGATGAGCCAGCAATGTGCCACAGCTGCCAAAAAAGCCAATGCAGTTTTAGATTGCATCAAGAGAGGTATAGTGTCAAGTTTACAGCAAGTGATAGTACTACTCTATGCTGTACTGGTCAGACCACACTTGGCATTTTGAACATGTTATGCCTATTTTAATCAAATTGCCCTGCCTCTTCATTGGTTCATGGGCTCAGTTCATTGACAGAACCTGAGCATCTTGTGGATTGTCTTTTTTCATATATTCCTTTTTATACTACTTCAGATCTCCAGTGTAACAACTTGGCTCCTTAAGAAAACATTATATTAAAATGCATTTTAATAAAATGTAATCAATAACACAATAAATTGCAATTATTTATTGTGTTATTGATTACATTCACAGTTTCAAATTTCCATTCAGGTAATTGGTGCAGTTTTGATGCACTATGCATCAAACATAGTGATTGTGGTGACTTAGGACTTTCCTTTTTCCCTGCCTAAAACTTTTATTTTTTGTCAATTGTGCTTTTACTGTGACTAGTTCATGTGAAGGATATTCACCACCAAGAAAAAGTGTATAGTTAGAAGGAATTAAGAAATCTTGAATCAAGATCCCTATGAGAACAAAAGAGCCACTGGATGGTTTAATCTAGATCTTCTTAGGAAGATCTGGCACAATTGTTTAATGTAGACTTCCCCCCCCCCCATAATAATGTTTTTATGTTCCTACACTGAAATTTACTGAGCCCACAGATAAGAACTAAGGCTGCTGGATGCCCAACAGAATATTTGCTGGGGTCAGTCTGGCTTACCTTAGCTGAGATATGGAAGAGAACCCAGCTTCCTCAATCTGTTCCTTGAGCTCCTGTAGCTCTTCTTCCAGTTTCTTTTTCTGTTCCATAACATGCTGAACCATAGATTTTGGAGAATGCAGCATCACCTGCTGGTTGCTTTCACTCTTCAAAGTTGGTAGAGCAGAATAACTGGAATGGCCCATCAGATTGTCATCAATATTTCCCTTAAGGTTCTAAAATGTGCAATTATAATAAAAGGGTTATTCCTAATGAGTCTCAATCTTTTGAAAATGAATGGCTAAATCAGGCATAATGAACTTTTGGGACTCCAAGTTGTTGCTAAACTACAGCTACTGGCCATTCTGCCTGAGGTTGCTGGAAATTGTATGTCAGAAACATCTGGGGGTGCCACAAGCTCCCTGTCTTGGTGTTAAATAAATATAAATGCACAGTTCTAGCAAGAAAAATGTTAAATCTGGGCCTTTTAACACAATAACAACAAACTCTACAATAATTTAATAGTGAGGAGAAGCAGTAACTAAATAGCAAAGCTTAGAATAGTAATTCAGTCTTTTCTAATCTACAGTATTTGCCTAAGAAACAAGCTGTAGTCAAAGTTAAAGTACTTTATTTCAGTCATTATATAACCTTATATAACTCTAGACAACCTTGACACCCATTGGGTCATCCTTTGAGAGAAAGGTAATGCAGTCTGATGTGATGAGAATGAACATTAAATTTTAGGCTGACCATATTTTTTTACCCCAATGTTGGACAGTCCTGTGAAGAGTATATATCATAAATTAAAAAATAATTGTAGTGGCAAACAAACTTCAATAAGTCAATATTTACTTACCTAAACAGATAAACAGAATGACTATGGGTGGGCAAAAAAATAGTGGGAGTGGGATTGACTTCCAACTTCCTGCCAACTTCCCCATTGACTTTGCTTGTGGGAAGCTGGCAGGGAGCAGTCAGAAATCACAACCACGTGACTGCAGGGATGCTGCAACGTTCACGACTTTGCAAATAAAACTGGTGTGAACATCATGGAAATTTCAGTTCCACAGGAGTAATGGGTCCCGGATTTTTTCTTTAAGTTAGCAGATTTTAGATATCTTGATTCAAAAATTGTTGCAGTATAGTGCACCATTTGGGCTAACTTGAGGCTAACTAACTAATTTAAGGCTAACTAACAGACAAACAGATAAACACAATGAGAGTTTTAGTAGTATATAGATAAAACAAAAATAAAATAAAAGATATAATAAATAAAACAAAATGGAATAAAAGATAAGTTAAACAGAGCCAATACAGGTGAAACTTTCTTAGTTCAGATAACCACTTTAGCACTAAGGCTTCAGTGCAGAGACCATAATAAATATAGCAAGAAACAGATAAACAGGAGGGTCAGCAGTTATTGCTCTTATTAAACATTAAAGCAAGTTTAATCAAGTCAAACTGTTCCAACTGAGGTCCTGTCAAATCTTGCTGACTATTAAATAAAACTTGGTGACTTGATAAGAGGCTTCATTGCTCTGAACAGTTGGACAATAATTTGAAATAAAAAGAGTCAATATGGCCTGGATATTGAGCTACTGAAGGGGTGATAAATTTGTGCAGCAGATCTCAGTAGGATTAACAATAAAGATGTGCATGTGGACTGTGGTTTCAGTGGCTCTGGACTTACAGTGACAAAGGCATTCATTAGATGGGATTTTCAGGAATCTCCCTTCCAGGACCACAGTTTGCAGGGCAACCTATTGTTAATGTCGGTATGCTTTGCTATCCCAGTTGTGCAAATCTCTCTTTCCTGCATCAGATATGAAAATATTCAGGCTGAGGATCTGAATGAAATTAAATGAATGGATAATCCTCTGTGAAGGGCTCAGAGAACGTGGGGCTGTTTTAGAACCTACAGAAACATGATCAGCACATACCAGCCACACTTTGCCCTAGATTTCCTTAATTTTGGAGGAGCCATATTACAACCTCACACCTTCTGGGGAGGCCCTGAATTTCTTGGAGATTTGTCCCTCCCCTTTTGACCCCATCCCACTCCCATTCCCAATTTTGAAGGAAGCAGAATACAGGACACAGAAAAGTCTGGCTCCTAAGAAACCTAACAGAGGCTTTCACACGCCACAGAGCGCAGAGTAAAGTCCTTGCCATCACAGCAGATATCTCACTGAACAGCTCTGCAGGTTTTGGGGATTTACCTGTAGGTGAGTGCCATGCTGTATTTCCTCTTCAATGCTATCTGTAAACTCAGTGCTGGCATCTTCAGCATCCTCAGCTACAGTTAGGTCTAGGCATGATGTGACAAAATGAGAATCATCATTTTGAGTCTCAGGCACTTTAATTTCTAAGCACCACCTGTAATTCTGGTTCTGCAAATTTCGTCTACTCAGATCTCTGGTACAGTCATCAGCCAGCTTGGCTTTTGATTTTTACCAACAAAATACTACAACTTTGTGGCTGAAGCCAAGTTTAACCTAAAAAAGAGCTACACTTTGGATTGTTTTGGCAACCATACAGAAATAGTTGGCCATTGCCATCTATGAGATTTTTTTTCTTTTTCTACTTCCCAGTCTAATCTACACTATACTCATCCAAGTACTAACTAATCAGTTCTAAATTTGTTTAACTTATTTGAGATCAGCCAAGAAAACTACACAGACATGTAGCAGGTAACCCCTTTCCAGCTAAGGGCTTTACTAATAAAACAAAACCGAACAGAAGAAAACCTTGCAAGTCTCCAAGGGCTGAGGAATCTATCAGTTAACCTAACCTAATAACCAAATAACCTAATTAAACTTAATCTTATCATTAATCTGATGGTAACATTAACAATAGGATTAAAAGAGGAAAAATCAAAAACACAAAGGGCACAAGCTGCAATAAAGATAGCAAGCAAATGATAAATAAACTAAGTAGAAAAATAAGAAAAGAGATTAATGGTAGGTCTACCTGAATACTTTTCAGTTTAGAAGTTCAATCTTACAGCAGCTGCTGGTTTCAGGAACTGAGTCCACTTATTTCCAGCTCTGTACCAGTTTATTTGAAACTAAAACAAAGTGATTTTGGTTTTTCCTTTTGAAATTCTGTAGCTGTGTAAAGTTTGTGGATAGGCTGTCTTCCCATTGGCAGAATTTTTGCCTCACTCTCCTGGCTCCTGGATTCAATGCAACCATTACTCCCCCTCCCACTTGGGCTTGCATGTCCTGATCCAGGCGCCTTTGGTAGGCATTTGTTTAGAAGGGATCTTCCCATAGTCCATCTACCACAGCACTATGCAACCATGTTTACAGCTATTAGCAAAAAACAAAAAAACAAAAAACAAAAAAACCTGATTGGAAAAATGCTGATATGCTATAATTTTGCTATTATTGCTTATAAGAAGCTTTCCCTAATATGAAGCTATTCTGTTACAAATTTTGCCTTCCTACGAGTTCCTCATGGTACATTGTCTATATATCCCCATTAGGGACAGATGCTCTAGGTCAGAGGTATCCAAACTTCTTGGTTCATGGTGCCCCTAGCAGTTCCCAAACTGTGCACTGCGGCACCCCAGGGCATCGCAGCAATTGCTCTACCAGTTCCATTGATTAAGTGGCAGAATATCCCGCAGTGCCCCTGTGAGTTCATTGCGGCGCATAGTTTGGGAAACATGGCTCCAGACCAAATATAGAATCAGATACCTCAGCCCCTCCTGCTCTTAGAGACAGAAAAGGTTTGGCCATTTTAAAACCCAGAGCAGAACTCTGTTGACGTCTGAGGATGAAAGCTCAGAAAAGTGTGGGACTTTCAGGGTTTCCCACAGCCTCTGATTAAAGTTTGGAATCCCAGGAAAGAAGGAAGCACAGGTAATTAAGCAGAGAAACCTTTGCTTTAGACAACGGCTATCTTTGTAGAAAAAGATGAACTGCTAGCCAACAATTTGCACTGTGTTTTTAATTTTTTTGTTTGCTGTGCTGCTTATGAATTCAACCTTTATTTGTACTTCGTATTTCAGGATGGCTTGAAATATAACATTTTTATTTAGAATTTACTAGTGATTTGCAGTAATATTTGGAACTTGCTGCCCCCAGTATCTTCTCACAGATCCTGGCAAACAGCTTTATTTGTAGCAGAAGAGCCCCATCTTGGGTTATTCTGGGAGCATTTCATTTTCTTTGAAATTTTCTTTTTTAACTAAGTTGCCAGTGTTGTATTACTGGGAGCTGAACAGCTATTTAATTTATTTATTTTTTTCAATATTGAATGTTTGCATTTTAATATTTAAAGTAAAAGGGGATTCTTACATTTTATCTTCCTTCTTTTTAATGAAATTTGCTTTTGTTTATCTTCTGCAAGCTCCAAATAATCTCCAAATAGAGTGGGGAGAAAGGCTGAATCCTCTAGACACCACACCTCTATGCTACATGGCCAGGAGATTTTACTATTGACATTATTTTACTTTTTACTCCCTAATAAGGCGGTATAGGTTATGAGAGTCCTCCCTTGAATACTAAGATCAGGGGCTGGTCACCAGATGAGGTGCCCTCTGGAAGATAGGTGGTGGCAGTGAGAACTACCAAACTGCTAATTCAAAGCTAGAAACAAAGGGAGCATGAAAAGACCAAGAGGGTTTCTGAGAGGAGAAGCTTGGATTTCTAGCCTTCCATCCTATGGGCTCAGCCATCCGCAACACACATTTTTTTTCTTTTGGGAGTCCCCCCAAAACATGGATGTGAGTTGGGGCACTAGCAAGTTTCTCTTTTAGCTTAGGGAATAGGATTGGATGTTTTTATTTTTTCAATTTCCACTTGGTCAGTTAGATGGTGAGCACAAATTAGTTCATCTTGCTTTTTGTGAGTTCTTCGCAGAAATTAAGGCAAGTCAACTTCAAATCACTTTGTCAAGCATTGGGGAATGGAAATTGTATGGTGGCATAAGGCCCCTAAATGAATCAAGGAGAGCAGTATGTGTGTGTACACATGCACATGCGCATACACACATGCACACACACACACCTCCTAATTAAAAAGTGCCCCCAATATCACGGTAGACTAAAATCAGTAAGGAAAAGAGATGGAGAATGAGAGAGAAACATTCTGCATAAAGTACTGGCTACATAGTCATATATCAGGACATGTTTATGTTCAGTCTGTTTGCATTCCTCATGCAGAGAAGACTAGTAGAGCCATACATGGAAAAAGAAATTCCAAATGAACATATGGGGTATAGAAAAGATAGGGGAAAACAAGATTAGATAGCTAATGTAAGATGGATAATGCAAACAACAACAGAATTTAAGGGTTACCTTTGCTTACCAACCACAGGAAGGTCTTTGGTAGTGTAGTTCATGCTAGAATGTGGAATATATTAAGAACCTACTGTAAGAACTGAGTTTGGAGAAACAGAGAGGTTCAGAGTAGGAAAGGAACTAAGACTGATGCATATTATCCCCATTTCTTTAAGATATATGGTGAATGAACATGAGTGCATAATAACACGATTGGAAGAGATGCCAACTGGATTTAAAACAAGAGGATGAAACACTAACATTTTGAGATTTGCAGATGTCACCACCAAAAATAAGAAACACTTACAAGAGCTTATTATAAATGTATGGAAAGTGGAAAATCTGGCTGAATGTTACATATTAAGAAGACAAAGGTATTATCACCTAGCATGTTTAGAGAACTTAAGGATGGCAAAGAAGTGAAGGTAGCAAATAGTTTTGTTTTCCTAGGTTCAAGAACAGACAAAGATGGAAAATGTACTGGAGAAGAAAAGAGGAGGTTAATCTTAGAGAGAAAGGCAATGACCATGAAAGATATGGATATTTATATGACAAGAAAATAAGAATAGTTAAAACAATATCAATCAATTCTGCAGGACACAAGCCCTTACTTTGAGGATGATTATGAGAAAACAGCGATACCACTGGTGTGTCCCTGGAAATGCTGTGAATTGTCACTAAGAGCATATCTTTGTCCATATTGTTGCAGGAACTGGGCTTGATTTGATGGTATTTAACCAAAAGCAGCAGAAACAAGTAACATGGGGAAAATATAACTGTGATATAGAATTTTTATTTGCTATCAGTCCTTTTACATTACAGCTATAAGAGGAGGAAAATGATTACTTTGCTTGCATATTAAAATAAACTTAATTTTAAAGTTTTAAAATAAACTTAATTTAAAATTAATAAAACTTAAACTTATTTTAAGAGTAAATTTATACACACACAAATACACACACACACACACATATTTACATGGTACAAATGTGAGCTATGGAAATAATGAACAATATCTCCATGAAGTTTAATCTCTCTCTCATTTGAGTGGGGATCATCCAAACATAACTTGTTCTATCCAGGAGACAGTTAAATTGAATGGATCACCAAATTCATCAACTGAAGCATCTCAAAAGAAAGCAAATAATCCTTCTCCCAGTCTCCCAGGTAATGGGTACAAGAGCAGTATCTTTAGGGTGAGATACCGATGTTGCTCGATCATACTAAATAAGATTAGAACCTTCTGTAGTTCTATAAAACCCAAGCCTGGTTCCTTATAAAAGACCTGATACAAAAGTGGTAATAATCCTGTACTGTACTGTACTGAGAGAACAGATGTTTTGTAAGATGAAACCTTTCTTTCCCTGTCAGTCTACATGAATGATGGAAACGGTTTAAAAAGAGCCTCTCTACGTGTTTGAAAGGAGTTTCCATACTTGTGAGCACACAGTTCTTCACAAAAGTCTGTAAAATTCCAGGTCACTCTCTCTACAGCAACCTGTTATTTGTTCTTTCTGATGCAGCAATGTATTAAGGCCTTCTGAAAGGATTAAAACTAAGTTAAGCTATCTAAGCCTAGACACCAAGATCTTGTCAGCAAACAGCTTTGAAGATTACCTTCATCTTGATTCAAATAATTCACAGGAAACAAAGAAATTAGATAAAATACTGTAAAAGAGACTCATCTGACAGGATCTTTGTAGGAGCACTTTTATACTTGCAGGCATCAATAGTGGGACATTGATGTCTGCTCTGGATTATCCTCTAGGCTTGCAAAGAGATTTACAGCTTTTCAAACTTTCTTACAATTTTATGGAATCTAAAAATACCCATTTGGGCTATTCACTTTCAGCAGAAATTTATTCTGGATTCTGTTGTTGAGATGAAAAAGTTCCTTTGAACGTTATTGTAAATATGCTCATCCTGGCGCCAAAGTACTTTTTTAGAATTCTGCATGTCTCACAGACTGAGTCAACTACTTTTCAATATTTAGGACTTTTTTTTCCCCTTCCTGAAATATG